ATAAAAATGCATTATTGATCTACGTTTTATATCAAAGTTTAAATAACAATTATAGACACAATAAACAGCTTTCAAGCATGTCCCAATTATTAATTGATAGATATCTGTTTCTAGAAAAGGTTAGAAGCGTTCGAAATATAGTGTTACAGACGAATAATGAGGATACCGTGTATAGAGAAAGTTAGAAATGAAGAGGTATTAGAAAGAGTCGGAGAACAGAGGACTCTACGGAAGTAAAGTAAGAAATAGGAGAGATAGGTTAGTAGGACACCTTCTCAGGCATGAAGGTCTAGTCAGAGATATATTAGAGTCAGAACTTTACAATGCACTTATAAAACTGTTTTTTTATGCACCGATGCATTTTTAAAAATAAATTGATCTCATGTTCACAAAATTTGCACACGATCTCACAAATCAAACGCAGAAAACCACATCTCGATCCGCACGAAATTCGAAGGTTCAGTGCTTTCTTTCCTCTACTACATTTCCATCAACAGATCACAAACTTTTCAACCCACCCTTAGTAATGTTAATGGTAAAATATTTTAAGATAATTGCATTCATATTTTTGCCAACACAACGGATGAATATCGTTTTCCTAACCAGCATAAAAAAGTTTGAACATAAATTTCAAGGTTTTGCGATTGTTTCGTGGTTTGTTCACTCAACTTTTTTCTTTTCTTTTAAAAAAATGTACGATACCTAGCTAAATAAAACTTAATACAGTTTTGTAGCATATTTGATAAGGTAACTTTTTGAAGCGACTGCTTCTGGTTCAGAAAATTGAATGATAAAATAGGTTTGAAAATAAAACTGTCCGCGGTTTCGAAACTTTGCATACGAAATGATCGTCCAACTTATAAATCTACAGAAATAGATAAAGGTGAAGTGTCTGCTTGTTATATCGAAATAACTACCCTTTTTACTTTGTTATGACACAAACTACCTTTTTGTCAATATCTACCTTTTTTTAATGCACTAACATAAATACTACCTTTTGCTAAACTTAGCTTTCACATGAAAACAAAAAACGATGGGAAACATATTTTGATAACGACGCCAAATAGAAGCAAAGGCCATGATAAAATAAGAGTTGGGTTTTTAAACAAACAACAACGTTTGACAAAATATTTGCTCGAAAAGACGAAACGTTGGTATTGGTTTACTACACGAACTCTATTTTGCCCTTATCCTGGATTTGACTCTGCAATATTATCTAAAACAAGGGAAACAAATGGAAATTGAGTAATTAAAAATTATCTAAATATTGACTACTAAAAGCGTAGTAATTTTACCTCGCACAGCAAAAACCAATTAAATCTGTTTTCATACAAACAAATGCCGCAAGCGGCAATCGATACTACTACCAACATTTTTCCTGAACAAAGACTGCACGACAAAAGGAACTTCTGGAAAGTTTCCAGAAACAAATAAATCGCTAAATATTAGAAAATTTGTTAATTTTTTTTAACTAAAACATCAATTTCTTTAATTTACATGCTAATTAACTTTAATTCATTTAATTTAAAAATATGTAGGTATTACTTATTCACCATTTCGGAGAATGTAGAATACTACGCCGTCGTCAATCAACTTTGGTTATTTGTTGATTACAATTCCCTTCGCATCCACCATCATTAATTTTAGTGACACCATATTACATACATACAATTGTCATTTACATATGTAAATCATCTTAATCAACTTTTGCAATGGCAAATCAAATTCAGGAAGGTTTGGCATAGTTTACAAAACGATAAAAAAAAGTGTTGTCAGTGGATTACCGATTTTGAATTATCCAGTGATAAAATTCCATCTTGAATCTCTACATTTGCTGTGTATAAATAAATTAAATTTGCACATAATTTACCCTGTTTTTTTCTATTGATTAATAAAAAATTTAATTGGGTTTTTAAAAAGCGCATTTTTAAAAAACATTTTACAAAATTCAAATAAATTACCTTTAGAACAAATGTTCCAAAAAGAAAATTATAAATATTATTAAATATTTAGTGCGGTGAAGTGAATTACGAGAAAGAGCATTTGCACCCCGTATAAATTATTAAAAGTGTAATTTAATTTTATTTACGTAACAAAGTTTTTCTATCAAGGCTTCTCCTGTTAAGACATAATAAAAGTCATGGGTTTACTATAAGTAACTGAAGAATGGAATAAAAGTACAATAATCTGGCTTCAATTTTAAGGTTGGAAAACGGAACCCTTACAGGATCACCCGTGTGTCTGTCACAATCAATTTGCTTCGAATCTACCAGACCGATTAAGTTGAAATTTAGTACACATATGAATTTCTGTGACCCAAACACGGACACATAAGGTAATTTTGAACATGAAGATTATTTTTCGGGGGGCCAATAGGAAATGGACGACTCCCTCCGCCTTATCTCCGAAACTACTGAACCTAAAATTTTGAAACAAATACAGAAAATGTTTCTTTACTTATAGATTACAGGAAATTAATAAGAAATCTGAACATAATATTGTAAATCTTTCAACTAAACAATATTTACAGTTTGAATGCAGTGAATGGGGAACTTGTTTTGTTTTCCACTACAATGTTAAGTTGGTTCTCGGATTAGGGTTCCGCACGTGCGAATGAAAAACGGAAGCCTCACAGGTTCACTAGTGTGTCTGTCCTGTCCGTCTTTTAAAGTACAAAATAGTATGCACCAACCAAATTTCAATAAATCTAAAATTAAAACAATCATTTCTTCCTTTTTAAATCGAAGCTAATAGGGCGAATAATGTTTTTATATTTATTTCAAAACTACAGCAGCTTTTCAGCGATGCTGGAAGTGATTCCCAATAATTGAGCGTTGGCAAACCTTATTCACTCTATCCTATCCGCTTTGTAACGGCTTTGAGTGAGCCATAATACATTGTAGCTACTTTTAAATGTTCATAGCTCAAATTTTACGACATGATTTATTACAAAATTTATATTATGGTCAGCTCTTTTTAGATATGTGATTCAGAAGCGCCAGCATTTTCCTTAAGTAATAAATTTCCTTTATATCTAAGAAAAGACCTTTTCCATTATTGCTGACCAATTAGTAATTACTAGACTACCACTAATGGCAAATTTTTATTATTCACGAAATTCATTTCTTTAATACTTTTAAATAGCATTGGCAATTTTCGTTGGTTATAATATATGTATAGGTGAATAACACTTCATAATGATTGTGCAAAGTGAATCATCACTTAAAGTTCCCACACGCAAGCTTTCGTGAAGCTAGTTTTATTCGACATAAAAGGAAGTTTAAATAAAAAGCATTATAATATATTGTATAAATGTCACATAAACCAATTAAGAATGGCTTTGTAAAAGCTATACATTAATTTTTCGCTATAAGCCCCTCTACTAACTAGTACATTTTCATCTTCATTAATTAGCCGTTTAAGTGCTTTCCATAATTAAAAGTTATTTTATTAATTCCTTTATTCAGCATTCTTTTAAAGAGCAGGAATGCATTTATACCACTAATGAAGTAATTAGTTCATCCTTCGACCTGCGTTAATGTTGTGCATTGAAAAATCAGATAATGGAAAATTGTTTCATGTAACCTGTTTTTCAGAAGCGTGTTCATTTCCGGGTATTATGAAAAAACTGAAGGTTTGTGGATAACTAATAACTTTGGGCTAAAATATCTTTTCAGTAATTTTTTTTTTTTGAAAAGGTATATTCTAACAAAAAAATTCAATGAACCAGAAGTGAGATTCATGAAACTAATATTGAACAAAAAATGTCGTAGTTTTCTTATACATATAGGTAAATGTAAAGTTTATTAATAGAAATATTGAAAAAGTCCCTTAAGTCAAACAGTTTAGAAATTTTTTTTGTCGTCAAACGACCGAATTTGTAATGCTTCTGAGAAAAACTATCCATTTCTTGGTCTAAAATTTTCCAAAATAACAGGAAAGAAAACTTTGAAATGTAGAAACCTTAAAACACAAATGAATGTGATTTGAAGGAATGGACTGGATATTTCATAAAAACAAATTTTTAAAAAAGAAACACAAAAACTTTGAGGATTTGAAGTCTTTTGTTAAATATCTTCATTTTTTAGCCCCAAAAAATTAAAACACAAACGTCTAACTGAACTTTTTGGTGAGGGAAACGTATACAATATAAATGCGAGTATATTTAACATTTACTAAGTTAATGTAATGAATAAATAATTTCTGAAATACAGAGGAAGACGAATAACTGAAGTTAGTTCATGAAGTAACGGACCACATAAATCCCTGCTCTAGCGCCTGTTCCCCATTTATTGTTGAAGTTTATAGAAGTGTTTAATTAGTCATCATTACTTATGCTTTATTTGTTAACAACTACAGCATCTCAGATAGTTTTGACTTACTATTTATTAGAAATATAGGTAGGTATTATTTATTGAAAAACAAATTATTGAAGAATCTTTTTATGTACATTTTAATTTAATTATTTTTTAGGTACGACATAATTAGTACAGAAAAGGCTTCGTATTTTGGGTTTAGTTACGGTGTATATTTATAAAAACAAAAAAAGCATTTAAGTTCAAAATGCGTTAGTTGTAATAACCATAATTAAAAATAAAGGAATTTAAAAATGTTAATGTGGTATGTACGTATTTTCCGATTTATTTTTATAAAACGCTCTATCTGTTACATTTTAAAAGAAAATATATTAAATTTTCGTTCACGACTTCGAGCTATTCTAACAAAATAATTGCCAATTTAACTCTAAAGATAGCATCAGACAAAAGTACCTTACGATCATCGAAAACAGAAAAGTCATTTTTTAATATAAAATAAAAATAATCATTAGTAAATGACTTCAATCTGAGAGAATTTATTAATATTAAAACATGATCACTTAACTCAATCTGTTGTTAACAAATTGTTTGAAATTTTTGAATACAGAATGAGATAACTGCATTTTATACAACTTCCAATTAAAAAAGTTTAGGAAAGTTTAAAACATTATAATAAAAACTGACCTCTTGTCGATTGCAGTGATCCATTCCATGTCGTTTTACCAGAAGGTTTCTGTAATAAACACAAAAAGTTTCAATTTCCTTTTAATTAACTTAAGAATAGATTATTTTGCGTAAAAATTTTCACATATCCGACAAGGAGGCTAAAGCACGGAAAATCTAAACAGCTACTAAAGAGACGGCGGAAAACGCGCGTATTCTGGTACTGAAGAAACGCAGTTGGCCAGGACATCGCGCAGGACAGCGCATATTACCTGAACAGGATATGTGAAGGATAATGACAGGTAAAGCGAGTCGTTAGTTCTCTCTCTCATCAGTTGAAGACTGTTGCTTACATTTACTTGTGTATTCTTAACATGTTTAACTTCCACAAACACACTTCGTATAGTCCCGAAAGAGTGAGATAAATAGCTCTCTTTTAAGACATCATTTGTCCAAAACATTGACATTTAGAAAATAACAAGAAGTTTCGAAAAGAAAAGATGCAAAAGTGTTTCACAGTTTGACTAAATAATCGTATAGTTCATAAGAAAATCTTACATCAATCACATCGATAATAATTTAAGGAAATTGATTAAGAATATAGGGTGTGTTCCGAAATATAACCCGGTATACTGGCCAATGCTGATGACGTCGTGAATCGACGCCATACTGTTGATTCGTTCCGAAATATACTGGCCAGTGCGTTGACGTCTAATTGACGCCATATTGAGAATTGTGCTCGTTTACAACAAATTTGCTCCAAAAGTTATTAACGTTTATTACAATAAAATATTGTCCAAACTCTGAAGCACACACGCCCGTTTGACATACTGTTACGACACACTTGTTTCATCAGTACAATATGGTGGCACACCAGTACAACATGGCGTCGATTCATGACGTCATCAGCACTGACCAGTATGCTGAGTTATGTTTTGGAACACATCCATAATATACCTAAAATAGACAACTAAAATAAATTAGGTGTTTAAAAATTATTAATATGTATAGGTAAAATAGACAGAAATTGTAAATAACACAAACTTTAAGATAATTTAGTAGTAAATAGTGTTTCTTATTTAAATGAAAATAATTATGACATTAACATAAATTTTAAAAAGTTTCTTACCAAAAATAATTCTGTTAACCTCTAATAAAAGACACCTTGCACAAAAAACAAAAACCGTTTTGTAAAAGATAACGGAATTGGCAAAAGCTTCCGCAGCTGGTAGATGAACTGCTTCTGTTCTTTTTCATGTCTAAAGGCATCGAAGATGGAAGGACCTCTAAGAAGCTACTCGAGCTAGCGAAACGTTAGGAAGCAATTCCAACACACGATAGCCTTTAGATCCGAATCAGAACAGCATCAGATAACGAAATTATTAGAATATTCGCTCGCGTTGATCTCCTAAATAAGTGTCAAAGATCATCAACGACCACATAAAACTAATTTTTCTATCCCTTGGGAACAGTATTTTTTTGTAGATAAAAGGTACCTTGCGTCCTTTTCTGTGCTTCTGACAATACGCCTACAAAATTTCATGATGATCGACTGACTAGTTAAGGCGTGAAATGGACCACATAAAACTAATTTTTCTATCCCTCGGGAATGGCATTTTGTTTTATAAAAAGTAGCCTATCTCCTTTTCTGTACTTCTGACAATGTGTCTACAAAATTTTATGAAGATCAATTGAGTAGTTAGGGAGTGAAATCGACCATATCAAACTTTCTTTCATCTCTAGAGAACAGTATTTTTTCTGTATAAAAGGTACCCAATATGCTTTTTTGTATCTCTGAAAATGCGTGTACAAAATTTCATGATGACCAGTTGAGCCGTTAAGGCGTGAAAAGCTAACAAACAAACAAATTTGCATTCCCAATTATATCAGTTGATATTGTGGCAGGCGCCTCCACCAAAACGAAAAAATTGTCCATTTTTGTTAATAAATATTGATCGACTCATGGCAAAATTCATATATTAAAAATTTAGTCCATGCACTTGAATTGTACATTCCCTTCCCTAAATATCCTTCTAATCGCCTGATCAGGACTAGGGATGAACGTTAGCACAAACAAACTTATCGTCCAGTTATCTACTTACACAATGCTCTCACTTGATTTTGTTGTTTTCTAGATTTTATTGATAAAAGACGAAATAAGTATAATCACGTATATATTTTTATTTTTCTTTTAACCGATTTCAACTTTCATCTATTAATCAAAAAGGGTTACTTAATATGAAAGCAACGACTGGGAATTTTTTTCGTCAATCTTCTCATTATTAAAACTTACTTATTTACTTAAGGATGTTTGGGAGGTATGTCAAAATGCTACGAGACAAATAAAAATTTGGAAGAACGTTCCTCATTCAATTCTAAAACTCCTGTAAAAATTACAAATCCATTCACTAAACCGTCAAAAAGTTATTGAAATTTTATACGTCATTTTATGGAGATTCGTTAACCGAACAGATAAAATTTATTTTTATTAACAGAGAAAAAGCTACCAGAAATTTCAAACTTTTATAATAAGTAACTTGAACTCTGGAGAATCACTTTAGCGTAAGGTTATTCAAATTCACTAAATGGTTATCGAGGAAAAAATGAAAAATTAGCTGAAAATCTCGTTTTTACTTGATAATATAATGATAATATTTATAATTGTCTGAAATAAATGCAATTTTAAAGTTTTAATTATTATTTAAACATATTAAAAAGTTTTACGCTCATTATTAATGGAGACTGAAACTAAATATTTTTTTATTTCGAAGTTGAAATCAAGGCATATTCACTGCCAAAAGTCAGTTAAAAATTTTCCATATTATTCGTTATTTCTTATTTTATTCAAAGTTTTTGGTTAAATTCCAAATTTTCTCTCAAACCGTATACTTTTCTAATTTTATGTACTTTTGTATCCGATTATGTCACCCAAACATCCTTAAATGAAATGCGAAGATTAGTTCATGATAGGAAAGAGTGGAGGTGCATGTCCAACCAGTCTTAATACAGTATAATAATAATGATGATGATTACATATTTAAAAGCTCAATTAATTTGATTAAAGTCGTTATCATCATAGGCTCGTCAGTCGAATGACTATTCGTGAACAACAATCTAATCTAAGTCTTCTTCTGGCCGTCTTTACTCCTAGCCTGATCTCTAACTAGCCCTTCGTGTCTCAGAAGGTGTCCTACCAACCTACCATCCTATCGTCTCCTCTACCTCTTTTTTGCAAATAGGTCTAAGTAATAAGTTATAATATTTATATTCCAATATTTTAGTTATTTCAATAAGTAAGTACTTAGATCTTACCTGTCAATTTATTGTTTAATGGTTAATTAGGCAGTAATTTAAGTTCCTTCATATTCAAAAGTTTGCAATTGCCTATCAGTCTCAATTAACTGGTAAATTTCATAAAAGCCTAATCTAATTTGGTTTGATTTCCCGCCATGTTTCATATTCGATGATAACAGTTTATATGTATCAGCCCATAAAATATGAAGTGGGTGGATGAGTGAGTGAGTCCGGAATAGATGTAGAAAACCTGTCAGGTGCAAAAAAGAATAGAATGAATTTTTTTGTAAGGTTTGTCAATAATTTGTGCTTTTAGCTGAAAAGTGCAGTTTTTTACCAAATTTTATTAAATAAACACCATGAAGATGGCAGATACACCGGCAATATTACGTAGAAACAGACCCGGAACAAAAGCAAAGGTAAAATGCAATTATAATGATTAAATTGTTTACAACTTAATAAAACAGTAACTGCAAAGTTTTGTCTTATTTGTTTAGGATTTCTGTCGTTGGCCTGATGAAGCTTTTGAAGAAATGGACAGTACATTAGCTGTTCAGCAATATATTCAGCAACTTATTCGGAAAGATCCTGCCAATATAGATCTTATTCTAAAAATGCCTGATGCCCAAGATGAAGGTGTGTGGAAGTATGAACACTTGAGGTGAGTAGTTTTAAAAACAATTTAATTAACTGCCTATCAAATAATTAAATAAAACATAACCATAACCTATAAATGTCTACAATGCATTGCATTTTAGGCAGTTCTGCATGGAATTGAATGGTTTAGCAGTAAGGTTACAAAATGAATGTCACCCTCAAACATGCACTCAAATGACTGCAACAGAACAATGGATATTTTTATGTGCTGCTCATAAGACACCTAAAGAATGTCCAGCTATTGATTATACAAGACATACCTTGGATGGTGCTGCATGTTTATTAAATAGTAATAAATACTTTCCCAGTAGAGTTAGTATTAAAGAATCATCGGTGGCAAAATTAGGCTCAGTGTGTAGAAGAGTATATCGAATATTTTCTCATGCTTATTTTCATCACCGGAACATTTTTGATGAATTTGAAAATGAGACGTTTTTGTGTCGTCGTTTTACTCAATTTGTGATTAAATACAATTTAATGTCAAAAGACAATTTAATTGTTCCTATTATGGAAGATGATGGTACTCCTGGTGAATCAGAAGCATAAAAAGAGTGATAAGACCTTTTTTCGAACTTGAATTTCTATGTTGGATATAATACTGTAAACATAATTGATATTATGAAGTTTTTGAGGTAATAGAATCTCATTTCAAATATCCAACATTATTAATATCTTTATCATCATGAAAGTCAGAATTACTGACAACACTGATAACTATATTTTTAATTTTTAACTGTCTTAAATATGCAAGCAATGTATTGTTATTTAAATTACAATCTAAATAAGTATTAATGCAAACAATATGTGTGATGTAGGTGGAAAAGATTAACACGTTTCTGCTAACTGGAACTTATTGATGGTCTACTTTTAATATCAGTGTTTACTACAATTCAGTTTTTATTTTTGTTTATGTAATGTATATTATAACGTATACCATTTATTAGAGCTATAAAATAAAGGATTTATATGTAACAAGGTATTTAATTTGTTAATCTTTTTCAGTAAAGTTTGTAAATACATAAATTGTATGTATAAGTTATACCATGTTAATGAAGTAGATTGTACTCATTCTCTTAATAAAAGATTTCTTTCATAATATACCCAATTCAGTTTTTTCATTTCATTCCATAGAATGGTTTTGGACTCCTGAAGTTCAACAATATGAATTTATAACAACTTAATTACTTAATAGATCTTACTGGTTGGTTAACGTACCACTTTTACTTATACCTGAATTCTCTAATCTTCAAACACAAAATGAATATACTAATAATTAGCAGTAAATACCAATGTAAAATAATTAAATTAAATTACCAATTGTAACTTCCAACCAAATTAAAATTTATGTGCACAAATATGTATCATATTAACATACCTATAATCTTTAAATTGTAGAAATGTAAGAAATACAACACAATATTTCTTAGCATTTTCACCGATCGTAATAAAACAAAGTTTGTTGTAAAAGCAGGATGAAATTAATTTTAATTTGTGATCAATCAAAATCATGTAAAAATAGAATTGGGTGTATTTCTCTTATATACAAAAGCCATGTTTTATTTGTAAAAATATTAAAGATCAAGGGTAGAAACCTTATTGGGATTTTTGATCTTTTTGTTTCTTTGATGAATTGTTTTTCCTTCTATTATTATGTTTTCTTTGTGGTGTTTCCCTTTCACTAAATGATTTAGTTGGGGTGTTATTCTGTTTATCTTTCAAATGGTATGAAACTTTCAATCCAGGTGCTTGGTAACTGATAAAAATGTACAAAAAAAAAAATAATTAATTAGCTACACTTGCAATATTCTTTTGAATTAATTGTAAAACATTTTAAAATAAATGGGAAGAATTAAAAAAACTGTGAACGTTTCATTAAATACACATTTAGTCAATTTGACAAAGCTATTCAGTAGGCAGCTATAAAGGTACAAAATGATTACTGCCTTGTGTTAAGAAACAAATCAACCACAGCAACTAAATATTTAGTGAAACATATCCAGTTTTTTATTTCTTTTATGTTCTAAGACAGCAGCATACACTTGCCTTAAATCATCAGTATTTATAGGAATGAAAGACAAAAGAATATGGATCATTGGAAGCTTCTTATTAACAACTATTGGGTCCAATTCTGATATTTTGGGGTACCAATATTCATCTATCCTAGAAAAGAAATACACTCTACTCTCATGTTATTTCTACAGAGTTAGTAATTACACATAATAGCAAATTTTAGTGATTTGATGCAGAGCATGTTTGCATTCCCTTTTCATTATTTCTGCACAAGTTACAGTTTTTCCTATTGCTGGTCCATAACCAGTCCACAATACAGGTTTAGTATCGGAAAGTTCTTTTAAAGCATAACTTAGCAAATTCCTAATTTTGCTTCCTCCGCGCACCTAAAGGTTTAAAAATAATACTTGATTCGAATTAAGCGTAATTGGGAGTACCTGCATCCATGTAAAGTCGTGAGGCAGATTGTTAATGGGTATTTTTTCTTTTTCAAAAGACTCCTCCACATTTTTACCCTTTGAGTAATACTCCATTTTAAAAAGGTCTTTTTTTTCTGTGATAAAACATGCGAGATTGTATCAAAAAATTATGATCTGTTAATACAAATTTGTAAAAAACTAAATCAATCTATAAAATCTATAAAATGCTAAAAAGGTGAGGTTACATGGAACAAATCATAGATAACCGATATGTAATGGGTCATAGATGAATAACTCGATTTTTTGCGTCATCTCTTGTGTGTAGTGTACACTATAAGATAAAAGGCGCGGAATTTAAATAACTAAATCCTATTTTAAATTTTTCAGTTATTCTGAAGTAATGAAATTAGTATTTATTATGTAACAGCCTATTATCAAAAAGAAAATACTTGATTTCTTCTTCAAAATGGGTTGTCGCATGTCATACAATAACTTCGTCAAAATATTGTAAACGAATTCGATCTAGGATTAGGAGCTTATATTGCATGAATTCGTACAAATAAGCAAATTGCCTCCTTTTTTGTAGGCTATCCGATAATAATTGGCTACTGCCCAAACGCTCATTCAAGTTCCACTTTTGTTTAATAGTTATTAATTTTTTGTTAAAATTATTTCCAGATGAAAATGAATTAAGTAAGTATTTCATCTACAACGGAGTTGCAGGCAATTTTGTTATTGTTAAATAGCAGAGTTTAATAAATAATGAAATCCAAAAACTTTAAACCGACGTGTTTTTTCGCGTTTGGGTAAGAATTTAATTTTAGGGTGTAATGAACTGATAAATTTTAATCTAAATGCCAATCAAATATCTACCCGCAAAACTAACAGCACAAGAAACATAAACGAAATAGTTTTATTATCAGCAAACTATAGAAAATACACAGGGGTGGATCTGCTTAAGGGCTTTTCGGGCTGCAACCCAGGGCCCCGAGTATACAAAAGACCCCCAAACTCCACTGAAAACAATATTGCGAAGAAAAAAATAATTCGTGTAATCGTAAACGAAACAAGGAATTACACGTTGCTTGTTTTCGCGTATGCGTTAGCGATGATCAAAATCCGTCTTGGTCTTAGTCTTCGTCTTGCGAAAATGCCAAAACCAATCCCTAACAAACAAAACCATGACTAATACCAAAACCAAATATAGAAGACCAAGACCAAATACGCAAGACTAAACGAAAAATTATTATTTCCGATGAATTTATGAGTTAAACTATTTCAAGCAATTTTAATATATTCTTTTAGTATTTTTAGTATTTGAAATTTTCGGGTTGCCTTTTCTAGATTTTAACACTAAATATAAAAAGAAACTTTACCACTATTTTAAAAAAGGGACCTACAAGCATGTAGCCGAAATAAGTGTTCATTGTTCCCATATCTGGATAACACATAGTTGAAATATTTTTTTTTATATATTTTGTAACGTACTATTTTGTTCGCTAAAAGTTTAATTTATGCGTTGAAGGAAGGGTCAGTTTATGCACTGGAAGAAGGGTAAGCTCTCGAGTTTTCATAACTCACAACTATCGTCATTATTTAATTTAAAAGCAAGATTAGAACCATTCAAGCAAGACCCAAGACCAAAACCGAATCAGCAAGACCAAGACCGATACCAAGATGTCCTATTTTTTTCTTATACCGTATACGAAATGGTAATTAGTAAACTAATTAGGTAAGTCCCAAAGTAGTATAAGTCCAGGGCCTCACAAATTCATGATTCAGCCATGAAAATACATATACATACTTAATGATAACGATTTGATAAATGAGTAAGTATAATTTAAATTAAGTTAATAGTGCATAATCACTGGTCATTTTTTTATCATTGATAATTGGCACAACGCTGCTCTTTTCAAATGATTAACTCTTAACTAATGAACAATCATTAACTTAAATAATAAAAATAGAACAATTCATATGGATTGTAATGTACAAATTGAATTAATGTTTGATTAAGTTTGAGGACCACACGCGAAATAAATAAGTACTTATTAAATTACCCGTACTTTCTAATTTTTGGACTTCTCTTTGCAAATTTCATAATACTTTTGAATTTTACATAAAAAAAACCAAATGCTCTATATTTGCTTCCCGCCCGCATCGCTGACAACAACCCAAAATTTAAAATTAATTTTTGGCTTTCGCCCTTTCATATAAGTATTCAAAGAATATTTATGTACTGTTTTATATAAACAGGATAGCCCACAAAGTACGCAATATACTCATTGAAAAAAAAAAATTCTAACAAAACTTGTTTTTCCCTATTTTAATAAAAAAGCATCTGTAGTATCTAAATTTGACTCGACAGAGTAATAAAAAATAGAAAAAGAAGATTTTTTGTTTGAATGGCAGTCCAATTGAAAAAAGTTATAGGAAGAAGTTTTTCCGAATGCTAAGAGATCTTGTTACGGTCCAAAATTTTTGTAGATGAACTTTTCAATTAATTTTCGAACTATTACCTAAAGTAAAAAGCAGATGGTTTATTGCAGATTTTCTATACATCAATAAATTGAAGAGTTTTCCGACTTCGTGATTGAAAGCGGCATCATTTCTATAGCGTTTACAAATAAAATGGTCTCAGGTTACGTTAAAATGAAGCCACTCAGTTTCAGTTTTGTTATTTATTAAATGGATGAATTTATGTTTTTAGGGTAGTAGGTTTATTATCGCATTTTTCCAATTTCGGTAGCTTTGTTGTTCTGATGTAGTAGGCACCTCCACCGCGTATAATTAAAAATTCATGTGCTTTTTGCTTTTGATACCTGTAAGAAAAACTATATTTCTAACATACTAAGTAAATATGGTATTTCTACTAGAGATTTTAACGTTTTTAAGGATAGGTTTAAAATGCTTTCATTAAGTCAATCCAAATTTTAATTAGTCTAAATCAAATAACTGTACACTCTAAAATTCAATTAGTTAAAAAAATATTGTACTAATTGAGACGGAGAACAAACAGTACATACACTTGTAAAAGTACTCAATTGATAAGCATCATGTAAAGCAAAATTAATAAAAAAATTGATGTGATAAATAAATAAATATCAAAATAAGTATATACCTGTTGAATTTTATGAAAGCATTTCTTGTGTTCCTAAATAACAAACTCTAAAACAATAAATTAAATGAACCAATTTATTTGATTTACGAACTTCAAAATTATATTTTTAGGCATTTCAAACTTAAATCATGATTTTTTTTTTGAAATAGTTCCTCACAGTGACGTCAACTTGAGAGTAAATGAAACCAAACACTCATAGATTTACTAGCTTTTTACCGTTTGTTTTTTTGTGAATGCATTATAATACAGGTGTACGGTGTTTGATTCAACAAAAATGTGAAACAATGCCTGCACGTGCAGTTTAGGGTTGCGGAAAGAATTTGTGGGCCGAACTAAACCATATATCGAGTTGGAATTGTTAGAGATGTCTAAGGAAGATCTATTAATTCGAGAAAAAAATATTTTAGCCGTCGGTCGTCCCTTATTAAAAAAATATACAAGGTTGAAAAATGAAAATCCCCTACATGTCTCCCTTATTTTATGCATTAATATAATTGTAAACTCCAATTCAATAATAATGACTATATACTATGTTAATACACGGTAATTATCTAAAAAAACATCTCTCATTCCCTATCGATTTGGAGTTGTGGGGGTGTTTCCTAGGTAGATTATGGTGTGATGTTTATATAAATAGCGTGACACTCCCTATTCTACATTTTTAACTAATCAGTTAACAGTAGTGGCAGATATAATGAAAGTTATGGATTAATCTCAAAAATCGCGTACGATGCGGATGTAGGTAATGTTTAATAGCTGTTGATATGAAATGACATTAATCCCAGCACGTATTTTTTTTGTAGCTACCTACTTAATAAAATAAGTAACCATGCGTTTCAGTAAGCCAAATTCAACAGGTTTGATATATTTTGCATGGGAAAGATGCGATATCTGCTCCTAAGCTGACGTCATGCGGAACTGGAACGAAAACGGACTTGCTACGTAGCACACAAATAAACAAAAAGTTGGATACAGTTATTCTTTTTATTCAAATGTAGAAAATTTGAAATGATCGCCAAACATATGAATTTAAAATGTACAAATTCAATTAGATAGTTATTACTTCTTTTCAAATACTGCTATTAAAAGAAAAGCTAATTACATTAAAAAAATGAAAAAATCCTTTCTTAAAACTTATACAACAGTAATGAGATGTTAGATTCAGATATGAAATGTTAATTTTGTAAGTAATTAATTAATTAACCAACCCCTACCGTTTTTATTTTCTGTGCCTACCTCAACACAAACCAGCCTAATTCACAATTTATTTTTGATCGCTACGAAACCTTTCCGACTGAATTTACCACAGTAATAATTAACAAAAACCCATTAAATCGTACTAATCGTAACATGATTTGAAAGAGTAAAGTCTTTAAAATATTGTAAAAAAAATTGTTAATTTTTTTTAAACTGATCTTATTTAGTGGTATGGATTGTTATTAGTTTGGCTCGCCGACGAATGTACAATTCGCGATAGGTAGGTACTATTCAATTTTGACCGCCGATCATATGCATATTTTATAACTAGAAACTTGTAAAGGGAAAATATATATTCGTTTTATTTCTGTTGTTACATGATAATTATTTTTAAGGGTCTCTTATTCTTATTTTTGCACGCTTTTGTATTGTATAGGTGTCTTATCTANAAGACACAATTACAAGAATAATGGAAAGATATTCAATTTTTAATGAAGATGCCTCAAGTTATACCTGGAGGTTATTAGTTATCAAAATAACTTTATAAGTATTACAAAAGCTTGCTTTAAATTTCAAAATTTTAAGGGTATTTTGACCCGCGAAGCATTTACAAATCTTTAATCTGGCCCTAAGTTAAATATAGGTTGCCCCTGTCTGCTTTATACCATTCCGTTATAAGAGTAAATAGCAACCCCTTCTGGATGGAATTATTAAAATAAATTTTACTCCTTGTTTATTTGATCTTATTTAATTAATTTAATACTATCGATTATATAATGTTAATTGCTTAAAAGAATCAGTACTTCACTCTACTTGCTGGGAAGCCCCTAGCTTCAAGCCCAAAAACTGCAAAAACGCTTCCAGCAAGGGGTTGTTGCTTGATTTCGTCTTCTGTTAAGCCGTATCGGGAACTCGTAACGAACAGAATATCCAATTTGTCGCCACCAAATGCAACAGAAGTTACCCTTTCCGCTGGAATATCTACTGACTCTAACCACTCTCCAGTGACACTATTCACTTTGATTACGGCACCGCCACTGTAAAGTGCAATCCACAAGTTGTCGTCTGTGTCAATAGTCATACCATCTGGATTACCAGTGACACCATTAGCTTCTAGATCGAAGGCTACTCTTGAAAAGCTGATAGCGCCAGTATCAGCGTCGTAATTAAATTCTCGAATTTGACGAGTGGGTGTATCGATGTAATATAGTTTGTCATTTGCTTTGTTCCAAGCCATTCCATTGCTAACGTTTACTGGGGATAACAGTACGTCAGGATCTTCTAAATTAGCTGCAGTTATCTCATACAAAGCTCCTTGATTGTAGTTCAAACTACCTCTAGTATCTTCATAGCCCATCGTTCCTACAAAACCACTTTAATGTCGTTTTATCTATTACACTGTTCGTTATTTTTCTTTTTTTGCCATTACAATTATAATTTAGTAGTGTTTTGTTAAAGTTTTTCCAATTCTATCCTTACCTATGTATAATCTTCCGTTAAGGTCCGCCTTACCATCGTTAGTTCTGGACATGGGATAATCTCTAGCCACTGTTGTAAGGACTTCCAGATCGTAGGTGTTACTTTCGCCATCCCATTCAACTGCAGATACTGTTCTATTCAAACCTACTATGAACTTTTTGGTACTGGATGTTGTAGGAAGTACAGGAGCTACCGTGCCCACTAGATTTATGTGATTGGTTTTTTTATTGTCAGGGGAAAAATAATAAATTCCACCTTTGTGAATATCGACAAAATAAAGGCGATTCGTTAAATTGTCCCACATCGGACATTCTGAATGCTCCAAAGGGTCTGTTACAGTCGTAACAATATACCCGTCAATTACACTAAAAATACAAAGATATTGCTGATTATGATCCTTAATCAACGCAAACGTGTTTTATGTTGTTTTGAAATTGTTTTATGAACGAAAAGTGTTTGGTATGCATAGTATGTTTTACTCTTTAAAAGATTGGAAAAAATTAGAATTTAGAAAAGAGAACTAATATATATTCCGTTTTTAAATAGTTTTGGTTAAACATATCTAAAAATTTTTTGAATTGCGAAGAAACAAAAATTAGAACACGATAAAGTTAAATTCTTCTTACCCCAGCGACACAATTAAACACAAAGTCGTACTTAGGTTCATGATGCACAATCCACAAATCCCATTCAGTCAACAACAATTATTTTATATGTCGGCAAATATTAAAAGTAGTGTAATTACTTATTCAAGGGTTCGGTACTTAAGATAATCGTATTTCATGTTCCTTGTTATTTACCAATAGGCATAGGTACAATATTTATGAATTGTACATTCCGTTTCTCCGTAAACAGCCACTTGACTTTTATTCGATAAATTGCAGGTTTAATACCGGTTATTACCCATTTAATAATGAAATAATTATTGACCAATAAACCGCATTATTTAAAGCATATTTTAATATAGATGTACTAAGAATTGAAAATATATGAATAGATGTTAAAATGCTTAAGGTATCATCTTCGAATGAGACATTCCATATTATTGCTTGTTTATTGCAATGCTTACGTTTAATAAAATTAAACTACAGAAAAGCCGTTGCTACTGATGTTTGTACTATAAACATTAATATTTGACGTTTATGTAGAAGCAAATATTGTAAATATTTATTTTAATATATTTTTTGAAAATGCCAAAAGAGCAAAAATACACCCGCAAAACCGATCGGATATATATTGCACCTTTCGAAGTGGCATTGCACAATCAGCCAGAAGACTGTTGGGTTTCCTTTTTAGGGAAGGTGTTCAACTTGACAAAATTGGTACAAGAATTTAAAAATACTGATTTAGTTAAGCCTATTTTGGCTTTCGCTGGCAAAGATGTAAGTCAGTGGTTTGACGAGAGAAATGGAGATATTCGATATTTTATTAATCCCGTTACGGGATGTCGTGTTCCTTTTTGTCCTAATGGACCAATACCTCATGTTGGTCTGCCAACACCGTCATCAGATTGGAAACCAGTTCTGTTACCCTGGTGGAAGGATGACGAAAGGTATCTACTTTAACTTGGTAACTGTATGTTTTCGGACAATCTTTTTGATATGGACAGAGCTGACCAGACAAGTTGAAAATCGAATTTTTGCATATTTGCAAATCGCTAATTTTGGTTTTTTGTCTGCAGTAGGTACTGTATAAAAGTAATCGCAATACAACAGCAACTTTTTATTTACTCAAATACAATATCTCAGCATGATTAGTGTTAATTCTTCATCGTTTTTACATGAACAAATTGATACAAAAACCCAAAAATGTATTGAGTTTTTGTACGATTTGTTCGAAACTGAGACGTATCATACTCGTTAGTGATACATAGAGTCACTGTGGTTTTGGTTTTCTACTATTTACTTTTCCTTATAAAAAATAAAATCTTGATTTTTTCAGAAAAAATAAAAAGCAAAATGACATCTGTTCTCATTTTTTACAGGTAACTGTTTGTTAAGTATTGCGGATTTGGCGAATGCGACGGGAATAAATACAATAATTTCTTTGAAACGGATAAAAAATTCCAATAAACGTGTCGTATTTTTCCTTTCTGATAATCTACTTTACTTAATCTCCACTTTAATGATAATTCGTATGTATATGCACCGACATTAATGTACTACATCTAGCCATAAAAATTCACTACCTAATACATTATTTATTTTTTCTACCAAACGATATTTTTTTTATTTTTTAAGATATTTTGTAGGACCTCTCACGAAGAGAGTAAGACCTATCAATATCATAAACATGCTAATAGGTACGAATGTGACTATAAATGTATGCTGTGAAGACACAATTACAAGAATAATGGAAAGATATTCAATTTTTAATGAAGATGCCTCAAGTTATACCTGGAGGTTATTAGTTATCAAAATAACTTTATAAGTATTACAAAAGCTTGCAAAAGCGTCGATAATATATCTGATTTTTATTTCTGCATAGTCAGCATTAATCTGATTTTTTTTTCAATTCACAACACGCTATTTTTATCTATCCAGATTTGACAACAGGAACTTGGACATGTTCAAAACATTAGAAGAAAATGGGATTTTTGATGAAAGGGATGATTATACCCATGCAGGTCTACCCCAATCTTTGTACACTCCAGCTATTTACATTTATTACAACGATGATATGAAACATTATCTGCCGGATTCATCCGATGAAGGAGATATACTGTAATTTATCGAATTAATTTTTGAAATACAATTTATTTTTTATTAAATGTATTTTTTCCACTTTGGGATCACTTAAACCGGGAATTTTGTTTTATATGTATATACAAACTGAAACTGAGAACTTCCCCCCAAAATTTCTCAAATTGGAGCACATTTAAGTTTTTCCTATAAGAAAGATAAAAGTTACCATAAACTTTTTAATTATTAGGCAGAGAATGTCTATTGAAACATAAGTAGACTTTGTGATTTGTGTCTGTGGCTATTTCGTTTTAATATTTTGTATCGTATACAGGGTATTCCATTTTCGGTACTTTTATGGGGTATCTCCTTTATTTTTAAAGATAGAAGATTGCAGTTTTCGCAGCAGTCTGTTACTTTACTGTGAAATTAAAAATGGTGCCAGCAAAATTTTTATATACCTTTTGGTTTTTCAGATACAGGGTACAAATAAAAAGTCTCACCTTCAAGGAGCCTCACCCCTCGTATCTTTAAACTTACCGAAGAAATTCAAACGTATTCTTATAGATTTTTTCTGTAGAATCCATCAGAGGTGATACCAGCCGACTACCTGGACGAAACTTCGCCTGCGGTTTTTCAAACAAATACAGTACTCATCCCAACTTTGCTTTAATTTGAACAATCTGCTAGTTCCTTCCTTAGAAAATCATAATTCTTAAAGGAATTTTTGTTTTGAAAAACACACGCAATGGAACTTTATTATGAAAATTGATCACTGAAGCAAAAGTCAAAATGATTTAGTAACCACCTGTCATTTTTTAAATGTTTGTCTACTAGAAGTGATTCACAATTTTGTAAACTTGTTTATGTAGAGGGGTAAAAGGTGGTTTGAGATATTTCAAAATTTGTTAAAAATGGCAAATGAGCAAAAGTACACTAATAAAGGCGATCGTATATTAATCGCACCTTTTGAAGTAGCGTTACATAATAAACCAGGAGATTGTTGGGTATCTTTTTTAGGGAAGGTGTTTAATTTGACAAAATTAATCGAAGAATATAAGAAGACCAATTTGGTTAAACCTATTTTGGCTTTCGCAGGTAAAGATATAAGTCACTGGTTTGATGAAAGTAGTGGGGACATTCAATATTTTATTAATCCTATCACGGGAATACGGACTCCTTATTGCCCTAATGGACCAATACCTCATGTTGCCTTACCGACACCATCGTCAAACTGGACGCCAGTGGATACACCCTGGTGGAAAGATGATGCAAAGTAAGAATAATAAAGTTCAAAAATTTAGAAGACTGGAAAACTTTGGCGGTGTTGTAGAAGACTAAAAGGCCCAAACCCCCGACGCCAAAACACGACACTAAGCGTCCCGTTATAGAAAAAGACTTCGGACGCTTATTTTCTTATTTTAGCGTTGGAGTTTGAGCTACTGAATGTTTAAGGAAACAAAGTACATGTATATGGAAATTATGACACATTTTCTGAAATATACCAAACGTTCACAATGCTGCCAAAATTTATTTATGGAATAATCAAAATGTTTAATTGCTCTTTCAAATGTAGCACTTAATTTATAAGTTTTACCTACAAAATTTATATATTTTTTCTTAAGATACCGCATAGGAGATCTATCGAAAAGAGTAAGATCCATCAGTGTAATAAATATGGTGATTGGTACCACTGTAACTTTAAATGTATGCTGTGAAGATACAATTAACCGTATAATGGACAGATATTCTATTTTTAATAAAAACACTTCCAGTTATTCGTGGAGGTAATGCTTTCCTATTTCATTCCCAACATTTTCTTTTATGTATTATGGAAGTTGACGTTGTCGTTTGTAATTTTAATAAATTTAATTAATACGCTTTATATAAAAGATAAAAAGACAAGCTTTATACGAAATAAATTTTAAAATTTAATGAACATAATTACGTTTGAAATCGTTCATAATCATGTAAAATATTTTATAATTGCTTGCAGACATAATAATGAAAACATGGACTTAGCAAAATCATTAGAAGAGAATGGGGCTGTCGATGAAAGAGATGATTATACTCATGCAAATCTCCCTCAGACTTTATATACCCCTACAATATATACTTATTACAATGATGATATGAAATATTATCTTGATGATTCATCAGATGAAGGAGATATACCATAATTCATTAATTAACAGAACGTTGCTGAAAATTTCATTTTATTTGCAGTAAACTCCATTCGAATCTTCTCAATACTAATAAAAGTCGTGACAAGCCCGTATTTATTTTAGACAATTTCAGAATTTGAAACAATTATTGTGTCTGTAAATAGAAAAATTTATGATTAGAAAAATTATTAAAAAAAAAAACACTGTTCCCGAAAAAATAAAGAACAGTATTGACAGTAATTCTATGTAAAGTAAATTCCGTTATAAACGGATAAATAATTACTTCATCTTGCTATCTGTTTCTGGATTTTCAGTTACCGTAGCGAAAGCAGAACATTGCAGAAAAAATTAAAAGTTACCAGCGGAATACTATGATATTTGGAATTTGGTGACAATATTCACGAATGCAGAAGTTCGAAAGCAAGTTTTATATATATTATCAGTTTTTTAACGTAGTTACGCCACTGTGTTAGGTATACCATAAATGTATTAACACTCAGCAAATTGAGCACGGTATAGGTATAAATTTGCATTTGTCCAGCTGAGCGTAAATTAAGCTTTCGAAATATTGTACAGCGAATCTTACTTCATGAAGTTCAGCACGCTATTAAAAAAAAAATTTAAAGCAGTTACGATCCCATAAAGCAACGTGTTGCTACTAAACCTAAATGTATGACTTTTTCGCATAATCTTAATACGATGAAAAGTAGGCACTCGGTTTTGAGTTTGTCTAAAACGATTCCCAACTATCCCGATTTCAAGCCACGGCCCCAGGTTCCATAGGAGGGCCACGTTATACATTATATTTGTCCCTGTTTTCGTAAAGAATTAATTTTTGTTGATTAATAACTAAATTATAGATTAGGTCAAATAAATTAATATTAATTTTGCCTTAATTCGATTTATTTCTATAATAGTAGATATTACATAGGTACTTCTATGCATTGTTTTAAATTAGTACGAAATATCACTGTATTTTAATCTTTTGGATAAGAATGTACTCTATGTAGTATATAAACGATTAAAAGCTGTTTTCTCCGAAAATACCGAATTCCTTCATTTATACGTTAAATTACAAGATTACTACAAGTTACCTAGTAAATTTTACTATTTCTACGACAAATTCAGTCATTTACAATCGAAAATTGTAATTTTAGCTTTTAAAAATTTAGTTTTCTCCGTGCACCTATCCAGATTTTCTTTTGGCTGGTTGACCATTTATCGGTTGTTGAGCTTATCAACTGTTAAATTAAGTATATTTTAATATAGACAGGTAAGTACAATACAACTGCAGAATAGCAGTAACGAACATAACGAATTGTTCCGCCTGAAGGAACGGTATGGTACACACATGGAATTTATTAATCTTACACATGTTGCTTTGCCCTTTCTTTCTAAATCATTATAAAAACAACCATCTGCCATGTTGGTCTGTTACACGATAAACGAAATTGTCACAAAAGAATGACTTTGTTAACGTTTATTTTCTAAAACTCCCATTGTATCCGTTACAACCCCCTTTGCAATAAAAAATGAAAGAATTAAAATATAAATAATAGTATACTTCTATTTACTTCTGTTTTTCAATATTCTCCGTGTTCTTGATTACATACATTACATTGTCACAATTTTGTTTACAATTATATAGCAATTTAATGTAAACAATAAATTATTAATACGTTTCTCGCTTATCATATTCAAGGATGTAAACAACATTCCTGAATCATTCTGATTTCAATTAAAACTAGTGATAAGCAAAATAGTCTTGATCTTGAAAAAATCGTTTTGAAAAATAAAATTACGCTACCCACTGGTACTAATTAACCCTACTGTTACTAACAACGCAAGACTATGCCTAGGCATAAAAAAAAACAAAAAAAAGTCCATTTTTTCAAGAACAACATTAAACTATGTATAAGTGCACTAAATACTTAACTATTTTTGTAATTCAAAATGCTTTAAAAAACGCATTAAACAAACTTTATCAAATCTTTTTGATTCCGATGCCTAAAATAGTAATTTGACAGTTAAACTAAAGATTGCCTTAAGTTTCTTGATAATTTCAAACAAAAGTTATTAAACTAATATGACAATATCAACATTTTAAGGCAGAAATAAACAAACATTTCTGTGTGGGATATTTGCTCAACTGTTATCGCGGTAATAAGTAAGTAAATAGGTAGTGATTCTTCCTTACTGATACTATGTCTTAAGTATTAAAAAGTTGCAGTTTCTATTTATTGAATAAGTAAACATAAAGTAAATTCTAAACTCCACATATATGTAGACAACATAATTGGCATTGTGCAAACATGCTGATAAACAATATTAAGGATTTAAATGAAATTATAATCTTTAAAGTAAATTTCATGTATCAATAACATAACATTCCATTCACTTTTATGATTACTGATAGAAGTGCGTGCAAACTAATATTGTAAAAGATAAGATTGCTTCGATTGTATTAAATGCTTGCTATTATAAGATACAAAAGATGCAAAAATGTCGTACCGTACTATATAATGTATCTAAATACCATACAGATTTGATCATCATCATCATAAGGTCGTCAGTCCTAAGACTGGTTGGATACGTACCTCCACTCTTTCCTTTCCTGAGCTAAACTTCGCATTTCCCTAAAACTAGAACAGCCCACATCCTTAACTATGTATTTGCAAACAGTAATCTAATCTAGGTCTACTTTTACCCCTCTTAACTCCTGTTTCTGCTTCCAATATGTCTCTGACTAGACCTTCATGCCTGAGAAGGTGTCCTACCAACCTATCTCGCCTATTTTTTATTGACTTCCATAAAATCCTCTGTTCTCCTATTCTTTCTAATACCTCTTCATTTCTAACCTTTTCTACACACGATATCCTCATCATCCGCCTATAACACCACATTTCGAACGCTTCTAACCTTTTCTTTTCCGCCGCGCCCACTGTCCATGTTTCGCACCCGTATAATGCCGTGCTCCAAACATACACCTTTAACAACCTTCTTCGAATTTCAAATTAACCGTTCGAGAGCATAGAAGTGATTTCTTTTTATTAAAGGCCACACGACCCTGCGCTATCCTCTGCTTTATATTCTTATCTGACTTCCTAGGTATCTAAAATCAGCCACTTCTTCTAATTTTTCGTCTCCTGATACTGATTATTATACGCGATAATGTACCTACTCAAAAATTTTGTTAAATAGTCATAGCAAGTCAAGTACTTTGCAAAGCATTTTGCCATCTGACAATAATCTTTCGTTTTTACCTAGCTAAAACATTTTTAATAAAAATCGAAGACTATGAAAAATAGCCGCTCTTACGGCTAATACAAATTTTGTATGTATCACTTCATTAATAATGTAATTAAAAACATTCCTTCTATTACATTATGAATCATTTATAGGGGTGTTTAGAGTTACATGAAAAACTTCCCAATACCTGTTTATCACTAGCTATTATCATTAGTAAAGATACAACGGCTGTGGGACTACTGAACTGTTGGACTACATAAACCGAAAACTACCCCGTAGGCTGAAAGGGTCTCGACGTTCTTACTGACTCACCTTTTACCATTTATTTTAAAAAGCAAACTGTTCATTACGCTCAGAAAATTACTAATAAGACTTGTAAATGTACTTCATAAATATACGGATAGGAGAAAGAAGGGCAAAACTTTCTTGTTAAGATAATTTATAGGGGTGAATACATACAAAATAATGGTAAAATAGACCTCACATTTATTTAACCCGAAAAAATTGCATATTTTACATGATTTATACAACTAAAGCTGAAGAACCCTCATAACAATTTATTGTATGGTAGGGACGAAAGCCAGTATTATTATGAATATAAAATATCCTACTATGTAGCACATTCGGTTTTACGCATTTCCACAAGTATTATAATGTAATAGTAGGTAGTAGCATATATTCAACTGACTTGTAATTTTTTATATAAATTAACAAAAGCAACTTTATCACTTCACTTTCATTGATATCAAAACAAAACAAATCTCAGTATTTAACAGAAACATTAACTCTAAAAAATCTCTATCTCTTACATGATAAATAATTGCTACCTGATACAAAAACTTTCTTTTTAAATATTATGAAAAATCCACCCAACCCATCCTTCTTTTCTATTACATCCTCTTACCATCATTTCATTTTTCTTTTTTCAAGATTTTTTTAAAATATACACTCCCATGCATTTTGCACCTACCACCTCTTTGCAATCATTCAAATTTTTATTCCCCATACCTACTTCCGGTATATGCCACAACAATTATTGTAAATTTTTATATTTTTTAGCTATCCCTAGTTCTGCTGCTACGGTATTTTGCCCGGTTAGCACCCATAATTTTAGATGAAATTTTTTGGAGTATGGTATTTGCTGTACGTCCAATAGATCTTTGCTGGATCTCTAAACGTAACAAATGTTGATAGTTTTGAACAGAGGGCTCTATAGAAGTCAATAAAAAATAGGCGAGATAGGTTGGTAGGAATTAGGGTTCGCAAATAGTTAAGGATGTGGAATGTTCTTATTTTAGGAAAATGCGGAAGTGCGTGTCCAACCAGTCTCAGGACTGACGACCTTATGATGATGAACCGAAATTTATCATTTTATCTCAGTGGATTATTATCCCACTGTATATAAAAGGTATATAAAAGAAAGATGAAAAACAGAGAGAGAACTGCGATTGCCCCGCGTCAAATGAATAGCCGATGCAGAAGTATGTAACACAACGATATTATTTAGGGTAGACGTAGGGTGGAAAACCTTTACGTTCGGACAATAAAGGTCTTAATAAATTTTATCCCTAATACGACAAGTATGAATTCATTACCACAGTCCAATATCCATTTATCTATTTCTATTTATAAGTAGATAGTTATAGTATCAACATCGAAAATTTCTTCTCCTTCTTTAGATTATGCCTTGAAAAGCTAAGCATTTGATTCCTCACCTACTTATTGAGGTAATACTGTAAGATTGTTGCATTATAAATTTATATAGCTACATAACAAATGATGTAAGGATTTTTTATAATTTAAAAAAAATCTTATTGTATTATACATGCGGACATGGCACAAGCACCCATGTTATACATATGTACATTTATTTCTTTAAAGTCATCATCTTGGAAACACTGTTGTCTTTATTCTTAGGTATGCCAGATGTTCTGTAAGTAACGACCACATTACTTGTACATACGAAATGTACACATCTGAACAATTAACATCGTGATAAGATGTTGAACGGATGTCAGTTAACCCAACACTGATAAGAGAAGTAACAACGATGCAAGTAGTCGGCTTACATTTACAATTATTGTTAGTCTTGTGGTACAATTCTTCGACAGAGTTAGATATCTCATTTAACTGAAGCAAATTCTTCAGCAATAGACAATTGATAATTTAGTGAAACGAATGTGATCCAAGAGACCTTGCAGCGAATGTTCTTGTTTTAGTTCTTCGAGTGTTTTTATCAGTCGTGTAAATGTCTCTGCCACCGTTATTTTTTAATATTGATACGTAAGTAATTTAATACAAATTTCCATACTTTTCTGCAGTTTTTAGAATTTTCTACGATAATGCATATGTTAGAAGATTCTCTTACCTATATTTTAAAAAAATAATAATTTAAAAGATTTCTCTTTATACTTATTTAAATTGCTTGTATCTATCTAAGGTATGTATCTACAAATAGTTGAAAGGTAAAAAGGTGATAAGAAAGATCAGTTGATAAGGATGTATATTATAAGTGTAGATACTTAAGATTGTTAGATCATTCATCTGAATTTTATCAACTAATTTAATTTATAATTGTTGAACGTTACGTTCTAACAATTGAATAAGTTTGAAAATTATAGTTTTTAATATTATCTAACAGTTCTGCAGATCAGAAGATAAAAAACGTAAATGTG